AAAAAGAAAATGATTTGAAGGGGGGGGGGGGGGGGAGGAGGCTCTTCGGGCAATTAGCGAAAGCTTACATTGCACCTAGCGACAAAAACAAAATAGTTTACCGTCAAATCAAACAATTTTGGGCGACAATTAAATGTTAGTACAGATCAAAATCCCAATAAAACATTAAACATCAGACGACAATCCCTTTGGTAATAAAGCTTCCTCGTAACCAGGTAAATTTTCAAAGGGCATTGCCCACTAATTGACACGAAACTGACGGACTCCAATATAAGTGAAGCCGAAAATACGCGTCTATAGCGAACTCTATAAACCAATTATCGGTATTATCCTCAAGGAAATTAGGTGATACACACACAATATAACACCAAATGTAAATAGATTTTATCCTGTTATAATGGAAATGTTCTGACGCCCATAAATATCTCCAAGTATTGACCCCTACAAACAGAGACAAGGCGGGCGTACAAAAATCCGTCAAAAGTAACAAACAACACAACACAAACTTCGTTCTCCGATTGCTACAGCCTACATGTAGAAAAGTAAGAAGAGAGAGGGGGGCGGGAGGGGAGGGGGAGGGGGGGGGTGCCTTTGACAATAGAGCCATCGCCCTTCCCAATGACGCTCAGTTCAGCAAACAAACCACCCAGTCTCAGTGACTTATTTCACAAGATACCCAAAAAAATATCCAAAAGAATTAACACCATGGAAAGCTTATTGTCACAGATCTGGCTGACTTGGTATAGGGAATTGTGGTGGATCGGGAAGGAGACGGAACTTAAACTCAAATAACTCACTTTTAAATTTACCATTATCCCGACCTAATTGAGTAAGAAAGGGGGAGATAAATTAAAACAAAATCATAGTAGTTTAACTCTTTCCTTATGATTGCACTGCCAGCCTTTGAAGATGCTCACAGAATACTTGAAGGCTCACATCATCCGTGAAGATAATATCTGAGCCTGGAGCTACCTCATGCGCTGAATTATATGTAGCCGATGGATTCAGCTTCGCCAATAGAAATCTTGCCTGCAAGGCATACCAAGCATTGGTAATAAATTTTTCAAGAGGGAATTTTTTTTCTAAAAGCTAAAATTGTATTTCCTTCTTCCCTTCTTTTCTCTACAATTAAATTCACTGCACTCCAACTTGCAGAAAGCTGGAGGAAAGTACTACAATTGTAAGAGCCGATTATACTAAATTATGGTCATCCCATTAACATCATCTCAAGAAAAATACATATTTTAAATCATGCAAGTTTTCTTATTTTTTAGTGCACTAAAACGAATTAGAGAAACAGGTTAATTTCACAAAACCCCCCATGAAGTACAAGGGAGTCTGCACACAATCCGCCCCAACCCCACCAAAAAAAAAAGAGGAAAGGGAAAACTCTCGTGAACAACATTAAGATGTACAGTAAAAAGTCTAAAGATGTGACCTATTAGCTTGTTTATTGTTTTCCCACATGAATGCTCCTTTCAAAATTTTCCTCACAAACTTTTGATATGTCATAATTCAAACGTATTTACATCATTGTGGCTATCCAGTAGTATCCTAAAACGAATTAGAGAAACAGGTTAATTTCACAAAACCCCCCATGAAGTACAAGGGAGTCTGCACACAATCCGCCCCAACCCCACCAAAAAAAAAAGAGGAAAGGGAAAACTCTCGTGAACAACATTAAGATGTACAGTAAAAAGTCTAAAGATGTGACCTATTAGCTTGTTTATTGTTTTCCCACATGAATGCTCCTTTCAAAATTTTCCTCACAAACTTTTGATATGTCATAATTCAAACGTATTTACATCATTGTGGCTATCCAGTAGTATCCTAGCAAACTATGATTTCTTACTTCCTTTTTAAAATTAAAGTTCACTACCCTCCTACTTGCAGAAAATCTGAGGACAAGTATACAACTGTAAAAGATGATACCACTGTGGTCATCAATTAGTATCTTGAGAAGTACATATTTTGCATCATGCAGTTACTTTTTTTATGAGCGCCTGAAGATGATTTAGATTTTTTTTAAAAAAAATTATGTTTGTGTGATATATTAGTGCAAAAAACACTTACAGAAAGGATAGTATTGGCACCTGGACTAGAGTAATTTTGCTAAATAAAACCAGAATTAAGCCCCAGATGCAGCAATATCATTCACACGGCACTATTGGTTAATAAGAAAACCAACAACTTTAAGTCAAAAATATCAAAATATATACCTGTGAGCCATGTTGATCACATACAACTAATCTGGGAACTGGGAACCGATCCTTGATGATGTTTTGTGCATCATCATATGGAGCTTGCAATAGTTGAGCAAATGCCTGCAAATGAAAATAGATATAAGATAGCCACGAGATAATAGAAACATTTAAAAGTTTGGCAGATTCAATATAAACATAGATGAAAAGAGAAATCCTACTTGGCACTGAATGAAAAGCAAAAAGGCTAGAATGTTAATGAAGTTGAAGATACTAATTGACAGCCACAATGTTATCATTTTTTACAGTTGTATACTAACCTGGGAAAGAGCTAGAACGCTAATGATGATGAAGATGATATTTGGTCCTCACTACAAACATGGCACTGAATGAAAAGCAAAAGACCAGGTGAAATGGAAAAATCTAGATATGCAGTCTAATCCACTTAGGAGTTGCACCAACCATATTCATGAGGAAAAATCAGGAGTACTGGAACAGTCATCATTCATCAAAAAGAATATATAGTTAACAGTAACACTATTAACTATAAGAGTCCACTTTTGCAACTTAATAGGGTCTCTATGAATCCTAAAGAGCATTTCCTGAGGCGTCTAATTTAACCAAGGAGATGACGGAGAACTAAATGGATCAAAACATTCACGCAACCAACCAGAAGAATTTGGAATAGGAGGCTTTGTTGTTAACGTTGCGCTTCTTCAACTAAAAGTAAACAATGAAAACAGCTTGGATTATCAAAAAAAGGGCTTAACAATGAATTCCAGATAAGATGTGTTGTATTCTGTTAAATGTATTGAGGTTTCTGATAAAAGAGAAGCTAAACAGAACTAGTTTCCACTAGTAATTACCACAAATTTACCTGATGCTCCGGCTGATTCTGGTAACCCAAATTGCGCCACTGAGCAATTGTCATGCCATGAAAAATAACAACACTAAAATATGCATCAAGCAAGAGTATGCGATCTGCAGCAATAGATGCGACATCCAATAGTGCAGGAGTTGGAGGTGCACTAAAAGAATAAGAAAGTAGTGAAGGCTGAATCATGACAACAGAATTGGTAATGCTCTCACGGTTCAACAACATACGGAAATAAGCAGTTTCATCAGGACTATTATTGAAAACCTGCAGTAATACAGCCAGTCACAAACTAGATATGCACATACTTGATATTGAAAATAATCATACATTTCTGTAATCACCTGTACAAATTGTGACCGACGCAGATTAAACATGAATTGTGGGAATATTGAAAAATTTGGGTTAATTACAAAAGACGAAGGATCATCTTTTCTATAATCACCGAATCTTGAACATAGGCGGATAAGGGATCTGTCCAACCACCGTGTCGCGTCAAACTCTTCCTGGAAAACAGTTTGCAATTTATGACAATGACCAAATTGTACTTGTCAGACCATGACAAAGGGAAGTCCAGCTACACAATTCTTCCATGGAAAAGGAAAAAACAATGTTAACCGCAGAGAACAATAAATAACTCTAGTTTTGTGCCAGTCTGATGATATAAAATTTCAATACTAATGGTCTTTCTGCATACATGACAAGCACGCCAGTGATCAATAAAACTATTGCTTACCTGTCCCAAAAATACCATCATGTGAAATTATATTTTACTCAGAAAAAATGAAGCATGTCCCCGATAAGCAATAATTTATCACTACTCTCTAAGATTCTCTTCTTCCTATAGATTATCTTGGCCATAGGCTTAAGTTCTATTTATTTTAATCAAATATTTCTGCAACAGAATTGAGCACAAATTCAATCTATTTGAAGTCCCATTACATGAGAAGTTTCCTCATGCTAATATTAAAGGAGAGCTCTAAAGAGTAATCAAATCAATAATAATAATTCAGTTTGCTTTCAGCTTTCTTCTTGATACTTTTAAAATTATAAATTACTAATATACTAAACCACAACTAATTTAGAATTCATATTTAGTTAAAAGTTCTAATCAATCAGGTGTTCTTACTCATGGTTGACCACTAATTCATGGATTTTCCCTTCAATGGAAAAAAAAATCTATACTCAATTAGTCAATCATAAAATCAAGTGGTCTGATAATTGAGTTCTAATTTGATAGATGTAATATCCAATGATAAAAATTTAAGGCAACAAATAGTCCCAGTAGCGTTATAGAGACCTCAAAAAATCACTGAACCCTTCAAGAATCTCAAGAAGAACTGGGGACTCCAATTTCACTTTTCAGTAATAGATATAAATATTATCATATTGGTGAATTTTTATGCTGCTGTTTGTTGCATTGATTCAAAAGAACAATTATTAGTCTGTGTCAACGGAAGTTCTATATTACAGAAAGGACTATCTTTAGAAGGTTAGAATTTTCTTAGACAATGAAGTTCTTCATTTATTTTCCTCCTCCTTTGATTTATGAAAAGAGTAAAAAGAAATAGAGTTTTCACATTCATAGCATGTGTATGCTCATAAGTATACATAGAAGTAAAGTCATATAAAATAAATTACAATGACAAGTTTTCAGTCTTGCATACTAAATGAGCAATGGCTTATCTTACCTCCACCTCCATTTTCAAGGAAATAAATCTTGCTAATACAACAGCGGCAGTCTCCTGGTCAAATCCTTCAACCAATTCCTGAATGTGCAGTGAATTTTCATTGTCAGCAAAGGGTCTCCGTAAAAAAGCACAATGTATGAATAAAACAACATCCCCATTACTTAGTGCATGAAAGCTAAATCTCCAGTAAAAACTAAAAAGCAAACTGATAACCAAATAAAGCAGCAGATCGTGCAAGCTAAAGTAGTTGTGCACACTAGGAAAACCAAAGTAGATGAAACATTTTTATTTTCATACAGAAAATACATAAGCATATATTCTGCAACAGTAAATCCATTGAAAAATTACTATCCGGCATAAGCATATCAAGATTAATGTTATTAAACTTGCCATAAACTATTGCACAAAAAAAGACATTTCAAAATGCGAAATACGTTTCTGCAGGCTCCATGTTGTGAAACAAATAGGAAAAAAAATTAGGTTTCATAACACATCTTTTTTCACATTTTTTCTGTTATAACGTTACATAACAGCTCATATAACGCATGTGAAAAGTCATTATGCTACCCACCCTTCCTCCCCCTCCCCCCCCCAACCCCCCCCCCCCCCCAAAAAAAAAAAAAAAACAACAGCAAAAAAATTTTTGGATACATGGAAGCATCTCAGCGCTCCGTCAAATTGCAAAACCCACCAGATTTTGAACCTCTCCATTTCGTTTCGTCTCCCAAGTTTCAAAATCCTACCCAATTCTGAAACGCCCTCGTTCAAAACCCTAGCTCCTGATTTCCCATTGACCTTCGACTTGGATGATGCCAAAAATGAAATCAACGCAAATAAGCTTCCATGACAACCAAATCTGTTGACGAGGACCGATGAGCACTAAAAAGCTCTTCAAAACGAGATTTGGACAATGGCAGCAATGAAATCAACACAAAGAAGCTTCCCTCACAACCAATTCTGTTGAAAAGGACCAACGAGCACTAAAAGCAACTCAAAATGAGATAAGAGGATGTTGAAGAAGATGATAATGCTGAGGAAGCTTGACAGGCAATTTGATCTCTTGTCAACAAAGTCAAAGACTGAGAACTTTCGTGGCCTACCATATGTCTCATCAATAATGGCTGAGGACTTCGTACATCAATGATTAAGAACTTCCAGCAACCAGACAACGAGGACTGAGCCCATGAGGACTTCTGACCACGACAGAGGACTCCGGGTGGGTTAGTAACATTGTTTTACGTTAATTTCAATGTTATTATCAACTTTTCATTAATTATGGCTATTTCATGCTTGATTTTAATTGATTTTCTGACGTTAATTAGAAGTTAACTTTGCAATCACTTTTTCATGCCAATTTCTTACTCATGCTTGGTTATAATTGATTTTTGTGAAGTTAATTATGATTGATTTTGTGAAGTTAAGATTGCAATATCACTGATTGTTAAGCCATTATGTTTGTTTTTGTTTAGAAATTGTTATAGAATATTTGATAATTGTGATGTAATTTTTGAAAATTATGACGATTTTAATTATTAAAATCATTATGAATATTTCATATTCATAAAATATTTAAATAACCAATAAATCCGTAACCTAAGTTATTCTTTTTTCTTCTTTTTTTTGTGCATTTAAAATTAACAGGAGGCAGGCATAAGACT